TTTATGCTGGACATCTCAAACCACCGGTTAGCTTACGTTACTCCACCTTCTAAAAGAAAGACTATAGAACTTAGAATAAGTTTTGCCATTCCTTGTTTCCTGGTCTGAGTTCTCTGTGGACTTAATTGACTCCCTGGCAAAGCTTCATAGATGTTGAGTACACTGTTGCTGTTGGTCACTGGACCCTGCCAGCTTTTAGTATGCCAGAATCCAGACATTTGTTGTAAAACATGCTCTCAGCAGTACTTTTTGTCAATCAGCAGCAGCCAGGAATCATCTTGGTTATGAAATGACATAAAATATGAAGACTGAATAACATCCAATTTTCATTTTTATCAAGGGATTGCAGGATCTGAAGTGGGACACATGTGCAGAGTGTGCTGTGTTGACTTTGTGGTCAAATGTATATATTTCTTTTGGAGGGTTTGGTTTTGTTGGGTGGCTGGGGAGGGGGCTCACTTGGATCTTTGAAAGTCTTAATCTGAAGCAAATGTTTTATGCCTCTTGATGGAACAACACTGTAAATTTTGGTTGTTGGCTTGTGTGTTCGTCATTGTTTGTTTGCCAAGATTCGCCTCTTTACTCCCGTGTTTCTTTCATTAGCTGAAAGCTTGTAGTTTGAGCTCTTGCATGAGCACTTCCCTGCAACTGTTAATGGAAACCATGGGTATTCACTACTGGGTTTGATTCAGACATGGGGACGTCAGAGGAACGCTCCAGAGTGGCTTGGAGACATATGGTATTGTTTTCTCCACCGTGGGGGCCCCTCTGGTTTTCAAAAACAGCGAGCCCTGCCATTAGCTCCCCCATATCTCATCAAGAAAAAGAGGATGAAATCAGTCACAAAAAGGCTTTCAGCACATTAGTACCACCAGAGAGTTACTGTGTGTTCATTTCATCTATCAGGTCTTTCTGCACATTCCGCCACCCTCTTCTGTTTGCAACACCTCATGTTTTCTGGGATTTTTTTTTTTTTTTTTTTTTTTTGCCGTTTCCCAGACTCTGGGTGTTGCTCAGTGAAGTCTTCCAGCACTTGGGTAATTGATCTCAAACATTTGGTATGCACTTCTCCTTTTTGATGTACATGTGGCTACACTATGTTAGAAGAGTTGGAAGGATGTACACTCTTACATGTTTTTGTGGAGGACAATGAAGCATTATGATTTTATAATGAGTAGTTACACATTAGGCTACTCTCTTATAAGTTAAAGATTTTGCATTTTAGGAAATTGCAAGGATTTATCTGATACTGTTAATAACTCTGCCAATGCAGATGTGCCTTAACTGTGGGATGATCTTTAAAAACTCCTGAAAACCCTTTTTTTTATTAAATTTTATTACCAATGAAGTTTTGACACTGAATAAAGCTGGTGTATTTATTTATTTTGGCATACTTGTTGTAGGTAAAAAACAGAGGTTACTGTGATTTCTATAAGATGTTTCGAAATGTAATTTACATTCAAATATGCATGACAATGGCAAGTGTGAAAAAGAACGTACTTTAAAAGATTTTTGAAGATGTTTTATAATCACAATATACAGTAGGAAACAACACAAAGTTTCCTGCCATCAACCTAGGGACTAATGTTAGCTAGTGTAACTTTTAGGTGGAGGTTCAGAACAGTATGTCTTTTTTGTGGGTCACTTCATAAAAGTATTTCAGATTTACTTGTTTAGCGGCATTATGCATAGTGTTCCACTTATATTCTACAGGGAAGCCAAAATAACAGAAGATTATTTGCCTTAAACAAGTTGACAAGGCTTTTTGTTAAAAGCACCAATACAGAAAATTAACTAAGACAGAACTTCTTCAGTAAGTGCTCTAAACCTTAAAATTGTAATTTGAAGCTAAGCAAACCAGTGTACAGTATTGTGTTTACTAGAAAAAACGCAAACTGACTGTTGGGACTACAGACTGTAATTGTCATCAAGTTTGCACGTATTGAATCTTCTGTGAAATTTTTTGGTATTCAGAGGAATTTGCTGTTCTCTCCAGGGACATGAGGCATCCTGTGACTGTAAAACCAAATCATCACCAGCGCCATAATTGGGTGGAGGAGTTTGTTCTTCAGATTTCTTCCAATGTGCTTTCTGTTTTGTGGCCAAATATTTCTACTTTAGTCACATGAGTCTAAAGGACGATGTTCCAGTCTTAGTCTATTACTTCACCATCCAAACCAGTACAACCATTCTGTTTTCTAAGAAGTTATGTTCTGACAACACTTTAAGTCTTACCTGTTCAGTCTTTTGTTCCAGTCACATGAACTTTAACACAAGACCACCGAAGCCTCCAATGTCTGAAATGTAGTTTTAGGTTTCTTGCAGTTCCTTTTATGATTCAACAGTTTGATCTTGAGGTCAACTAATTGTGAAATCTGCTTCCCGAAAGACCAGCAGATGTGCTAACTGCTTGGAAACTATGAATAATCTGTCTTCTTATTGTTTCACTTACAATACTTTGGAACAGGTTTGTAATCCGGAAATCAAAGAGTGATGTTCTTCCTCCCATTATGAAAATATAAGGCAAAAAAATGTCATCACTTGCTAATTCAGTGGTCAAATTTCTACAATCCTGAATATTTGGGTTTTGGTCCCTGCCCTGACTCTGTATGCCTCTTAATTTAAGGCAGCCTTCAAATTTTTATTTCGCACATTGCGCCTCTAAAAATAATACACATTTAGAAAAGTCTTGGGAGTGATCGCTACAGATTGCTTAATAAGCATTGGGCTCTGTTTCATGGAAGTTCTGCTATTCAGGGAAATGGAGCTTCAGAAGTTGGATGTCTTCACCTTCAAATTTTTTCGCAAGCTGTGATTAACTATACTGCAAACATGGGTCCATATGCTACAAAAAGGCAATAGTTGGATTTTAATAAGGCAATTTACTTTATAAGTGCACAATCAACAGACGTAAAACTGCAGCAGCTTAAGTAAATAATATACTATGTAGCCTACTTATATTTATGAATTCTATTTAAACCAGTGGCAGGAATTGTTCTTTGGTTTTTTTCAGCTCCGTTTCGTCTGTCAGCTAAGTCAAGACGGAATGTGAGTGGAGAAAGTTAGTTAAAGCCAAGAGTGGATCCCTCGCTTCCCTGTTTCAGATTCTTGAGGTTTTCAGCGCTCTGGAAGGCCTGGAGCTAATTTGGCTTTCAGGCTTTCCCCCTGTAATTCTCTGCGACTAATTATGGTCGTATTCCCGCAATTAAACTGATAAACTCTGCTGAGCTTGGCAAGAATAGTGAAGAAACTCCACCCCTGCTTCTCAGCAGCTCCAGGCTCCACCCATTCTCTTTTCCCAATCTTCCCCTCTGCAGCTTCCAGTCGTAGTAAAGTCACTAAAAATAAAGTCAAAGTGAATCCGGCGACAGAGTCTGTGTGGAGGATTTACAGCCTCCGGTGACAATGCCAGGAACATGGAGAGGAACGTCCAGAGGTCAGACAGATGTTGCCCACGAGGATAAAAATAAATAAATAAATAAATAAATACTCATCTGCTTGACTTAAACACCACAAAGACTCATCACTATATTATTATTAAACTCGATGACCATTAAGGGGTAACTTTGTTGCGTTTCTATAAAACAGGTCTTGCGTAATATGCTTGGAGTGAAATGCATTTAATGTTTTAATTGGGACTTGCCTTGGCTGTCTGAGTACACACACAGACTGGGCTACACTGGAAGAAAAGAAAATAAGCACAGAAATAAAATGAGATTGACTGTCTACACCATACTCTTGGAGTCATTTGGTTGTTAGGTAGCCTCCCAGCACATGGAAATGTTTATCTCTGTGCAGTAAGGCACATGGCTGAGCTGCATTAAATGCCAAAGGTGGGCCTTCCTAAATGTATTCTGGCCAGTCTTGCTTTTTCTACTTTTGTTTTTCATTTTTCAAATCAGACTGGATTTGCTACACGTACCTGCTACATGTACGTGTGGGTCTGTGTTCGCCTGGTCGGCTCCGTCTGATGGTTTATTTGCTATGAAGTACTTTCGTGCTCCCTGACCTCGTGGCTATTTTGAAAGGCACCTACGACATTCTACGATGATGTAAACAGTGAAAACCAGACACCACACCGAGTTCAGGGACGTGGGTAGAAAACAGGCAGAGCATATTTGTGGAAGCTTTGCAATAATAGCTTGGGCATAGAGAGGGATTGGTTTCCGCCATGTTTAAAGTGGTGGCTTAATTTTCAAAACAGACTGTCAGCATGTTCTTTTTAGCCCCAAATGTCTCAGGTGAAAATAAACCTAAAACAGGCATGTTGACTTGGTCTATGACCTTCTCACATCCAGATTTGGTGTTTTATAAAGTATTCATATATACGGAAGTTTCCCACATTTTGTCTCATTGCAATCACAAACTTCTAGGTATTCCTCTGTGGAAGCACTGTGGAAGTACTACTTTGTGACGGACTAACACAAAGTAGTGAATAATTATGAGGTGAAGGAACATTTTTCCAAAATAAAAAGCAGAATTCTAGTGGCATGTGTTTTCATTCTACCTCTATTGAGTAAGAAATAGAACCACTTTTCTATGCCTTCGCAGCTTCAAATCTTTTAGGGTGTGGCTCTAGTAGTTTTATGCATCTATACAGCTCATGCTCAGTGGGATTGGATGGATAACACTTTGGACAATTTTCAAACTTTGCCACAGACGCCCAACTGGATTTAGGTTTGGACTACGACTAACACTTGGACATACTTCAATCTGAAGCACTCCATTGTAGGTCCGGCTGTGCGTTTGGGGTTGTCGTCCTGCTGAAAGCAAAGATCAAAGTCAAAAGAAGAACTTTATCATTAACATTATTGTTTTCAATTAACAATACTTTCTCTTAACTGCAACCACAGTGGCTTTTTTTGGTAAATTCCTCATGTTGGACATGAGTGTTGTTCCTTAGCTGAAGACAGACATGGAATAGAACTGTCAACAGATTTGTTTTTTTTTCCAACAGCTCCTTTTGTCTCCTAACACTGCTCTCTTTTCTCCTCCTTCAGGTATCACTGGGCTCAGAGGTCCACTTTAAACAGGAAAACTTCTCCCTGAACACTCAGATCCAGAAGGAAAGCCTTCCCCAAGGCAACGAGCATCTCCTCAACTGGGCCCTGAAGAAGTACAGGGCAGTCACCTCTTTCTCTGAGCTTAGGATGACTCAAGCCATCTACATCAAAGTTGGAGAAGGTGCGCACCAAATTCAGTAAACTCACAAACATAGCTCTGGGCCCCCAAGCAGCCCCTCGACCCCACTGACCTTTGGCTTGCGTAACTTTTCTTAGCTTTTGTGTTATGGCCCAGCCTCGAGGTTTACTTTCACTGCACTTGAGAAAAGAACTGCCTTCCCTCAAAAGGAATTCACCTCCTCACACTGTTTTATTGCCCATTTGTGGTTTTTCTTAGTTTGGCCTATTTACAGTGTTAGGAATTATTAGACTCATGAGGAATGAGGGTTGCATTTGGCAAAACTACAGCTACTTTTAAATAAATAAGTATGATTACACAGGTTTTTAGGTTTCTGGTGGAACTGAAAAGCAAATATTACTATATTTATACAAAAGAAGCAATTTTCAGCTGTTTTTGTTAAGACGAAAAATACAAATTTGTTAAAAATATCTCGACATGAAATGCATGTCTTTGGGTTTGCCTAAATATCTTAAAAGATTTATCTTAAAAGATTTATTGAAAAATCAAAGCATGGAATTATAATTTGTTGAAGACCATAGGTTTATTTTTTAAATTGTTAGCTCTTAGTAGCAAGAGTAAAGGTGACATAACCTGCTGTGAAACAACATTTTATAATTTTAAGACAGCACAAATTTCAGTTCAAATTGTTAGCATTTTATATTGGGGATTAACAAAGCTAACCTCCATTAAAACATAAGACAGCAGTCTCGGTATGTTCTAGAGAGTGCTAACTTTTAACCTCTGAGATTTCCAAAAATACAAAAAGCCTTTTCAACTCCAGAGTGGTTCATAACAGACAGAAGCTGATTGCTTAGAAGAATCAATTTGAACAAATTCTCAATGATGATTCAATGCTATTTTGATTGAGATAGTTATGTATATCCAAGTGTATAAACAGACATTACTGTGTACATAAGGTAGAGTGGTGAAGCTGGAAGGGAGTTGGATGTACTCAAGTTGGAATCATTTCAGACCCGGGAACCAGAACCATTGAAAGCAACAGGCAGTACACAAGAGAGGTGAAGAGGAATGCAGTCAGAGTGGAATAAATGCAGACACACGTCAAGGGGGATTTGATTGTTAAAACTGCTCAAGTTGTGAGAGACAAGGTTAGAGAGGGAAACCTGAGTTTGGAGATGTGAGGCGGGTTAGTGGATATAAGATGTTGGATAGAAAACTGCTTCAAGGGAGGAAGACCACAGATAAGGTTTATGCTGTTTCTTGTCATTGGTCTTGATCTGGGTTTCAAGACTGTGTGAGAGCACATTTTCACTCTTTGCCTTGTCTCAGTCCTGATTGCATTTTCATTCTGTCTTGTTTCAGTCTTCAACATGCTAGACTGAATTTATTCTCAAGATCTCTTTTTTTTTCAATTGGATTGCCTGTCTACATTCAAATGAAATCTATAATGTTTTTGAAAATTTTGACGCTGATTCCTGTGCTCCAATGTGACGAGGATGAGCTGGGTGGGAAAAAATAGAGAGACAAATTGTTCAGAACAAATATAAATAACAGGCAGGAGGAGGTAAGCTGTTACTTCCACTTCCTGCAGCTAATGCCAAGTAAGTTAATGTTAGGCTGGATATGAATGCTGTTCAGAGTTTTCTGGTTTGTCACCTGTTTGTCAGATTTATTGGACAGACAGGTACACAAATTTATTTATGTAGTGGTGTAAAAGAGGAAAATAATAAAATGGAATCTGTGACACTGGAGACACAGGGCGAAGAGAAGAAGAACCGTGTCAGTCTTTCAGCTACTATCACATGTTTTTGTTTTTACTTTGTCCCATATGTTAGCATATTTGAAAGTTGTCTTAAGTGGGAAAAAGACTTAAAAAAATGGGGAAAAGAAATTCTTTTTCTGAAACATTTAAGTCCTCTCATTTCTATGAAGACTACAGTTTATGTGGTGTTGCAGTATTACAAAACAGAATTTGTTCTGACATATACAGAAACCTTCTGTGGGAGTCTGGCTTTGCTGGAGATGAAATTGTTTGTCCTACATAAAAATTGGTATATATGTATGATCTCATATCATTCTATTCTTTGAAAAACAAGGTGGATACGCAACAGTGTAGTTGAGATAATGAATCATTTCCACTTCACAGAATAACATTGGGTTTGTAAAAAAGAGAAACCCAAAATGTTAACATTTCCTGTGAAAGGCATACAGACAAAAGAGAGAAAGAATCAGTAAAGGAGCTATAGCTAAAGAAGCTGTTTTACTGTTCATATGCTGCTTGTACAGTAATCAGACGTCCTATCGAGGTTTGCAGTTCATCAACTCTCAGACAAAGAATCTTGTATTTACTGCCAATGTTTGCATGCGAATGAAGCAAAGCATACAGAGAATCTTGGCTACATCATTGCTGCTGATTAGTAAGTCCTCTCTCCTTGTGAGCCTGTGGTGAGAAGAGTGGTCTTTCTGCCTTCAAGCAGTTGCCTTGTATCATTAGAGGCTATGGTTTGGCAAATTGCCAATTGACATGATTCATACTTCACAGAGAGAGCTGTAAATTTCTACTCCTTCACATTTTCTGTGGAGTTTTATGAGGATGGATGGGTTCTTGCTGGGCATGTCAACTGGGCCCATCAACACAGCCTTCCTCAGCTCTTAGATGCTGAGAAACATTCAGCACTTAAGGGCTTGGTCTAGCCAAAGTCTAATCAAGGTCTAAAATAGGTCTAGCCTTTTTGACCTATCTAGCTGAGGAAGCCTTGGTGTGTCTCAAAGCCATTAGACTTTAGCTTGGACTTAAAGTTGGTAGGATTATCATCTTTTGTTGTGTGTTAATCTGGTTCAGTTTTGATCAGAATACATTTGTAGATGACCCAGGCAATAACACAAACATTTTCTCTCTTCTCAGACTCGGTGTTTTCTGACACTTGCAAGATTGACACCAGGTTCTTGTCTCTGAACTACCTGGGCAGCTATGAGGAGCCACAGACGTCAAAGGGTTGCATCCTGTCTGTGCCTAACAGAGAAGTACACATCATTGAGCTGCAAGCCCCGAACTCCAGCAGGTAAGCAGCCAACATGTCCACAGCCAAAAGTACATTCTGTCATGGCCTATTTTTAAGGGCAGGATGCTCTCAGTAATCTGTGTAGAGTTTATTTTGGATTCAAGCAAAGATGACGACAGAGGGGGCTTAGCTGTCCACACAGTAGGGTTCCTTTGAGGAACGTTTTCAAAAACAAGCTCTCAAAGACCAAGCTGTCGCACAATGCCTTCAGTATTTGTTGCAACAGGATTCAGAAAACACAAGACTGCATATCTGGGAACGTTTTAGTATGTGTTCAGTATCTCTCCTTGGTGCTATTTCATCTGTGGTGCACATGTGAGTTTATTTTCTGGGAGTGCATCCAGCTTTTTAATTAGTTAGATAGACATAGGAAGCACGATAACACTGTGGTTCTTTCCCATATTTTGCTTTTTTTTCTGTAGTGCTTTCCAGGTGGATGTCATTGTGGATATAAGGCCTCTGAAGGACGACGACTCGGTAGTGCGAGATGTCATCTTGGTGCTCAGATGTGCAAAGTCTGTCCACTGGGTTGTCAAAGCCCACAATGTGCAGGGAAATCTGGAGGTTGTGGTAAGAAAAAAATGTTACTCTGGCTCACAAGTTACACAGGAAGAAATCTTTACTTTGTGTACCACTTGAAAAAAGATTTGCAAACCAAGATGTGTTTTGAGATGGCACCTTGTCCTCATGGCACAACTGGTTTTAGGGAAGGTGATTTCTGCATTGCTTTGCATCACCTTTGTTATGAATCCCAAATAGCATTTGATTCATTTTGTCATGTAACAACCACAAACTTCAATGTATCTTGTCAAGGTTTTTTAGGTCAGACCAACACAAAGCAGTTTAACTGCAAAGCGGAAGCAAAAAGAAGAATTTTTAAAAATGTTTTTTTAACTAAAAGCTGAAGGTTTATTCAGGCTTCCTGAACTCATGGTTTTTATATCCAGTTTTGTGATACGTTTACATCTGCAAATCTGTATAGCTATGGCTCTGCCAGACATGCAATTTCAATTTTTATTGAATCTACTATGTATTTATGTGTTTATTATGTAAATAAATATACAACAAATGTCATCTTAAGGCACTCCATAGAAAATGATAAATTAATTATCCTAATTAATAATGGAGTTAGACTACATGATTGAAACTGTCAGATTCAGTAATAAAGAGTCAGAGTAAATTACATACACTGAAATTTGATCGTAGTTATATAACTACCCCGTAACACTTTATTTGAAGTGATGTGCATAAGGCTGACTTGAGACTGTCATAAACATGACATCACCTGTCATGAACATCAATGACGCTTCATAAATGTTGATGACTGTTGTCATTCAGTAAATAATGACACTTTTAATGCAAAGTTGTACTAAAGGTTGCATTAAAAGATAATGAAAAGTGCAACATTTTCAGTAATTAATGACACTTGTAATATACTTGCATTAAAAGTTAATTAAAATGGTCAAATTTGCATTAAATGTGTCACTATTCACCAAATGACACTTTCATGACAACAGTCATTAGCATCCATGAAGACTCCCAGGCATTAGGTCATTTTTATGACAGCCAGTCATTTTTTTTTCTTTTTGCAAAATAGTGTAGGATTAGTTATATTAGATGAGTAACATCTGTGAACATCAATTTCCAAAACTTGGCATGAATTAGATTTTTGTCTGAACTTCGACGAGGCCATTCTAGAACACGAACATTTTCAGTCTTCTACCTGAACCATTCTACTGATAGTCTGCCCGTATGTTTAGGGTTTGTTGGTCTTCATGATACCGTTTGTTGTCTATCGTTCTCTAACAAACCTTGAGACCCTCATAGAACAGCTGGATTTATTCTGAGATCAAATGTCAAAAAAGGTCAACTCTGCTTTAAGGGTATGAGAATAAAGGGGACTTAGTCCAAATGCAAACGTTTTTGATGGTTCAGATATTTTTCAGAGCGATAAAAACCTTTTGTCATTTTCCTTCTGGTACACTGCTTTGCACTATGTGGTGTTGATATGTCACTTAAATTCCCAGAAATTTATATTCAGGTTTGTTGATTTTGCTTCATGTGTGTGAAACAATTCAAAATTAACTTTACCTCATGTTAAAAACTTGAGCACACGATCCTCAGAGTGACGCGTTAATTATGCACAGCATAAGTAAAGCAGAATTGCTTTAAAGTATTTTTGTGCCGTTCAAGTCTCCACAGCAACTTTAAAAATGTGGCACCTACACAGAAAGAATAGTGTAGCCATATATCATGTTGATGCATAACTTGCAGTTGGAATTTGTCTCTATTGTAAATCAGTGTAAAAAAAAAACAACAAAAAAACTGGAAGAGCCTCATCAATATTCTGCTTTTCAAAATGTCTTATAAATATGTTGTCAGTGGTATTCATTGTGTGACGGATTGTCTTTGCTTGTCAGTGTGCTACTGTCTCACATGTTCCTCTTGGCTTTCTGCTTCCAGTATTCATCTTAGAGGAGGTGGGCTTGTGGTTCAACATTTCCTTAGTGTGTGGTAAAGCTAATACTGCTGCAGCCATGACACCACACTTTTCACAGGCGCTTTGTGTTTGCACACTTGTTTGGTGGCTACTTTACATCCAATCAGTCAGATTGTCTGAGTGTAAATTCAGGTCAAACCCTTAGAACTTCATTTTTCAATGGGTAAATAGATGGTAAAAAGGAGATATTGGATTAGCAACTATGTTTACATAGTGTAGAATTGTGTCAAGGTGAATATTTGTGTCTTATATATATAGCGTATTTAGCAGACATTTGTCAGTCAGCATTATGTAGGTAACATTTTAAGGAGGGGGAGGGAGTTGTTGTGGGGTTGGAAGTATGAAGAAAACAAGAAGGCGACCATATCAATGTGCTATCACTGGGGGCATGCAACATAATTACCGTAGTCAAATATGGCAAATTTACAGGAAAATACTAATACGGGAGGATCCCGGGACAGAGAGGTAAAATACGGTAGTTTCCTGGCCAAAAATCATTAGAGCCACATTATCTTTCAAAGAAAATCTACTAATGGAATTCAGATTTCAGAATTCCATTTCAGAAATGAGTAAAAAGAAAAATAAGAAAAAAAAAAAAAATAATTATATATACCATTTACCTATATACAAATATAGGTGAAACATAAAATAAGTATTATTATTTTATAACATTTTTGACATGTTTAGGTTCTATATGGGTCTAAGAGTTGTGATTTTGATGTTGTGGTTCCTTTTGCCTGGTAACAGTGGTTCATAAAGTTCATGGAGAGGGTGAAACGAGTTTGATGTTCAGTCATGTTCCTGCAGTGGTGCTTCCAGCTGCCATATTGCAGCTGGAGTACCATGCAGAAATGCAGTGTGTCAACACATTCCCCACTATCCACAGCTGTTATTAAATTACAACTTTCGTGACATTCTCGTAACAGAATCCACACCAGCGTCTGTGCATAAACACCACTCAGACTGATATTGTTATTGTAGTTATGTCTCTGATCAGTGTATTGAAATAGTCACAGAGGAGTCTTCCTGTAAACCAGAACGGCTGCAAATAGCTGGTAAAGCCAGTGTAGGCTCCAGGTGAACTACTGTCCTAATCCCAATGACAAACTTCTGACACTTTCATTTGACAGTGAGGATAGACAGGATGCTGTGCTTGTGCAATCACTGTTTTGTAGATGCTCAGCTATGCAAGTCATTTGATGGCCTAATAAACTTTGTTGGTGTTGCCCAAGAGACTTGACTGTGTGGGAAATGACTGTGAGAAAGAACAAATCCTCACACGGTGGGAGAAGCAGGGCAGGAACCTAACTTTTAAGAGCAAACTAACATGACTTCTCAGCTCTGTTCAGGCTGTTACACGCCCATTACCTCAGCTGTATTCACATGATTCACACACACCATAGAGAAAGTGCAGGACTGTACTTGACGAACATCCTAATGATGCCGATATTCTAAGCTTTTTCTTTTATGATCTTTGAAGAGGGGATGGGGAAGGAGGGTTAAGAAAAACAAATATCTGATGAAGTGACTCTTCCACAGGCTTCTGATACAGTGACCATTAACTCGCAGATGGTAGAGACGACATCCTCCAGACAGCCTTTGCCATCAGGATCACAAGCCTTGATCAAGTGGGCAGTAGATAACGGCTACAGTCCAGTCACCTCTTATACCAGCACCCCTATGGCAAACCATTTCAACATCCGACTGCGAGAACAAGGTAACCTGAAGGTCACAGTCACACCAAAGAGTTACTCTATCTGGTGAAAGTCATCATCACCAGGCTGCGTGTGTCTTCCAGATGTATCGGATCATCTGGAGAGCAGATTGCCTCCAGAGCTGTTTGACCTGCGTCATGTCAGCACTCTGCCAGAAAAAGGACATGCGGCACCTCGCTCCAGTCTGCCCTTTCCATTTCCTGAACACTTGCCTGTCAATTTAAACTATGACGACGAAGAACCTGTTGAGGATAAAAACTTTTTGGATGTTGAATTCAGCGTTCAATGTGAGGAAAAGCGGATGGTCATCAGCATTGACAGAAAGAGCCTGGAGGTGAGTCTATATGCCTCACAGGACTAGCAACTGATGTTAGCTTTGTTTGCATTATTTATTATTCATGCACTGCAGAACCTTGTAAAACAGACAAATCATCTTGCAAAACATAACAAATACAGATAAATGCAAAAAAAATATCTGTATATTAATATATTTTGGTTCAGGAAATGCCTCAAAATTACAGAATATACCCTGTTAACTGCTTATTTTTTTCTATCAAGAGAAATCCCTTTGCACCACACATACCAAAATAATTTCAACTACATTTTTTCATCAAAGACAGCACTTTAAACAATGCTACATGTTTAAAACAAAATGATTGTTATAATTTTCTGGCTAATTTGCAAACAGCAAATATAGCAAAAATCATATCGAAGTTTTAAAAAACATTTGTTGCCTAGTAATGTTTTTGTCAAGTTTTTGTTCATGCAACACTAACTTAATCTGGCAAACTTTGAATAGAAGGGCCAAAAACAGCCCAGATGGCAGTCACCCAACAGAGAATAATCTCCACACTAATTATGAACCTTTTTGATTATCATCTCCACAGTAATTAACAACAAAACTCTATTGACAATGCTTCAAAAGTTATAAAAATGACAAACATCAACTGATGATGATTATGTGATAACACACCAATCTTTGTGACATATCCATGCATCAGCAATTCCCATTGTCTGCTTCAGCATTTCTTCTGCTGTGCAAAAACAATGTGAAAGAGTGTTTTGGTCATAAAGAAGTGAAATATTAAATTGTAATGAAACAAACTGTTTCCACATAGGTTTACACTGAGCCACGCAGCGCTGTAGCAAACATTTCAGTCAGTCCACATCACAGAATGGAAACTGGCATACTCTGTAATTAATAGCTGGAGCCAGACCACCTTGTGGGATTTGTTTATTCCTGAGAACTCCATTACACAACCACCACTTTAGCGTTTTCATCCTGCTTTTTACTTTTACAATTCTAAAATTGACTTCATAAAGGCCTACTGTACTTGATCTTTATGCTGTGTTTGAATGTTTTCCTAGGCGAAAGGATTTGCTAATGCCAACCTCATGCTGAAAAACCCAGAATGCAAAGCAAAAGTCAATGCAACCCACTACACACTGGAGACATCTCGGACTGGATGTGGCACCATTGTGTTTCCTATGCATAATAGTCCAGATGTCCTTCATATCAACTCTGTGAGTTTATGTCATGTCTCTTTTTCTTCAGAAAAGGCCTTACAACGGGGAATACATATTATTTAAATGACTTTGTACTGACTTCATACTAATTTAACTAAGTCTTTATTAGATATTGCTTGTGCAGTTACTTAAACAGATATTTCAAAAAATGTAAGTGACTTTCTGCTATAAAGTTAAAAGCTGTTGGTATCTTACCTGCAGTAGATAACTCAATCAGACAAGCACCATAATCAATGAACACCTAGAGTGCCCGGAAGATTATTGCTGGGCCACCAGCCCCTCTATTTCCTCTGTCAAAACTAGGGATGCACCGATGTGTACCGGTCCTGATATTAGAAAAAAATACAATGTATTTGATCCATAAGGGTAGATGTACTCTAATCATATACTTTGTTCACTGAGCAGAATCATGCTTTATGATCCATCCATCCATCCATCCATCCATCCATCCATCCATCCATCCATCCATCCATCCATCCATCCATCCATCCATCCATCCATCCATCCATCCATCCATCCATCCATCCATCCATCCATCCATCCATCCATCCATCCATCCATCCATCCATCCATCCATCCATCCATCCATCCATCCATCCATCCATCCAGGACTGACACCCTTATCCCTAGTGGGGTCGGGAGGGGTGCTGGTGCCTATCTCCAGCTAACGATCCGGGCGAGATTCATTATTTATTTTACATAATATATAGAATTCCTAATTGTACTTTATGAAACAATTTAAAATAAGGTTTGCTGCAGTTTGAGCAAGGTAGTCCAGCTATTGCTTCTGCGAGTTGTATTTGTTTTACATTGGGTGTTATAGTCACTAATTGCACTGACTTAACAAATTAAAGTTGTGTTGTTTTTACATGTTTGGCCAAGCTTGTGTATTCAAGTGTGCTGTACTGGTGCAGCGTTATCAAATAAATTTGCTATTTAGTACATTTAAGTCTGTGTTCAAAAAAAGAAATATTTTAAGTTAATTCTGCACAGCTTGTATCGTATCAGATTGTATCAAATGATATACTAAACCTCAGATTGAGATTCAGTATTGATATCAGAAGTGAAAAAAAAGATCAGCATATCCCTAGTGAAATGTATTGCCTTCTCTTTAAATAACTAAAAGCACATACTGATTAGATTTTCTAGAAGCCTTAATATAACAAGCTTTTTTTCATTTGATGAGCAGGGATTGGTTGTTACGTCTGTCGAGAGCCATGTGCCAAAATCCACTATTACTTACTAGGGAGCACAATGCTTACTTTATCCATCTAGTAAATAGTGTAATCATATATATAACGATGTAACTACACAGATTAGATAGCTGTGTATCTAGATTTTGAAGAGCTATGCTCCCTAATGTGATTTGATAAGAACTGTTCATGTCAAGACTCTATAAACGGTTCATCTAAACACATTATTCAAACAACTGAGCAGGGATAATCCTTCACATTTTGGAAGTAGAATTTAGATTACTTTAAAGTTTTTTATAATGTTGCACTGTTTCTTTTTTTCATTTTCTTTTTTTTAATCATTGTTCACGCCTGACATTCCTAGTTATCATCATTATAAGGGAATGCATTCATTCAGCGCATTTGTTCTAACAAGTCAGGATGAATCACTTCCTCTCTGGCCTTTTGAAATCTTTTTGTGAGGGGAAATTTGGAACAACACTTTCTACTGTCTGTCAGAGATTGAAAATCTGGGCGTTTGTCCAAGGTCATCTTTTGTGTCAGTGCATTAGTGCCGGGGCCATCTTTGACTTGTGCTCAAAAGACATTCATTTTCATTGCCGGGGTCCCCACATATCAGAGACAATCACTTATAGTAATTGTATCTTCTGTTGTGTGTTGACTTAATTCTTCGACGGCTCCAATGCTGGGTCAGCAAATATTTGGTCCAGACATCAAAACAGCCTCATTTGTATAACCAATTTTGTTTTCTCATCATTAAATTGCATTCTTTTAGAGCAGCATGCTTTATATGTGACCTCTTTCTCTGAGATACTGTAAATATGTTTTTTTTGTCTCTTTTACGGCTGCACCTACCATGCTTCCAAAGTTTCACAATTTACAAAGTAATATTAAGCTGACTCCAATCCAAAGTGTTGAACACTTTGCTAAACTTAGGCAACTTTCACTGATTGGGGCTCGTCAGGTCTGAAAATCGTTTTTGTGAATGTAAAGCAATCGTTTTCTCTGCGGACTACAGGTGACGGTGATTTCGGACGAGGCGCAGGCTGATGACAATCCGGACTCCACCTGGTTCCCCAGACCTGGGGGACCAGGTGGATTTGGTCCACAAGCTGAACCAAATCCACCAGCTCCTTTGATAAACGTAAGACAGAGCATCTTTCTGCAAGAGCTGTTCTCCTCAGCAGCTACAATCAAACTGAGTTGGAGGAAATTTTATGTCTCAGAGCCCCTTGGTAGCTGTAAAACTTACTTGGCCACAGCAGACTCCCCATCTTTCCATGATATCCATGAATAACCCTGACCTGACTTTTCCATTTTGAAATGTCCCCATATATTTTTCTTTATTTCATTAATCCATTTTTCAATTCCTTGCCATTGTTGGTGTTATCTCATACCTCTTCCAACAACTCCTACTAGTTTCAGTTTTCCTGCTGGTTAAAGTATCCTTACAAGCTGATGCTTCCTCCCAATGTTTAACAGTGAGGGTGGGGTGTTTAGGTCTCAGCCAAAATGTTTAGGGCTAGTCTCATTTGAGTGCTTGCCTTTTGGACTGTCTTATAGTTTTCTTTCAACCTGTTTTTTTTGTATTACTCCTACATAAAGGCCAGATTTAGTAGGTGAACAGCCTATATTTACTGTGTCAAGTGAATACCCTACAGCCATGTTTACAGGCTGTGAAATTGTAAAACAATTTCTCCACCATGTTCACACTAACCTGCCTGCTGTTTTTATTTTTATTTTATCTTCATACATCTGTTCTCTAATGTTCTCTAACAAACACAAACATTGATGCAGTTTAACATCTGGTCCTTCCTAATTGTTAATTTTGTATTTTGTTTGTCTAGTTCAACTGCACATACAGAGAATCCAAGAAGGTCCCTAATCCTGGACCTGAAGTTGGGTCAATTCCGGTTCTGAGCAGACAGCCAGTCAACAGCATAAGTTTTGAGATGGAGCTGTACTACACTCAGTCTTTCAACGATTTTCCGCAACAAGGCGTCTTCAGAGTTTCTGACCAAATGGAAGTGTTTGTGCAGGTAATGCTTTGCATTCAAATCCCACTGTTTATTTTCGTTTCTTAAAATCGAATCATTTTTTGAGCCAAACATGCTGTGTGACCTTTCTGTATTCTCTCTTTGATCACTTTGAGTGGCCTCAACAATGCATGATTCTGTTTTGTCTTGTTGGGGCCAAGATACTCAGCTTATTTTGAGCGTCCCACATTCATTTAATTCCCTCTCTGCATGTTTTGTTACCCTGCCTGTCTAGCTTAACATATTTGATTAGAAGCAGTAATTTTGGTCCTAATGTATACCGAAGGCTCATGGTCTAACGGTCCTTTGAAAAAAATATTTATGATGCTGTCAGACTCTTCACTGGCAGAGAGGACAAAGTGTTGCCTGTCTATGCTATGGCTTAATCCTCCTCCAGAGCTTACACTGTGCTGAGACCTGACCTCAGGCAAAAGCCAGAAACTCAACACAGTTAATTTCAGTAATAATCACAGAGTAACTTATGTTTTCTAAGAAAACTTTGTTACCCACTGTGGAAGTTCAATGCAGTTATGGTAAAAACATTTAGATTTCATGGCATAAAAATCACAATAAAAATATTGACATTAACAAAGCATTTAACAAAACAACTTCAGAAGAATGGCAAAACATAATGTAGTGCAAAGAAATCCTACATCTTTTACATCAGTAATAAACAGAAGAGAATACCATGGAATTGGATGTGGCGCAGTTGGTAGCACTGTTGCCTTGCAGCAAGAAGGTCCTGGGTTTGATTCTTGGCCCAGTCTTTCCCCGTGTATGTGCGCTTTCCACAGTCCAAACACATGGTGTGTGTGCATGGTTATTTGTCTGGTCCATCTCTGAACATCTGTCCTGGGTGTACCCTGCCTCTTGCCTGTTGACAGCTAGACATAGGCACCAGCATCCCTCCCGACCCCAAAAGGACAAGGGTGTAAGAAAATGAATGGATGTAAAATGATACTACTCTGAAAACAAAGTGCAAGACTGAATTTCCTTTCAATAATCTGTGTACAAATAAATATGACACAAGTCAAAGCTTCATTCCATTTTTACTGAGTTCTGCAAACAGGTGCTTTTAACAAGTTCGTCAAGATTATTTCTTGAAGATGCTTCTAACGGCAAAGAGCAATGAATAAATTATATTACTGTATGTGCATATTTGGCTCAAAATCTTTTTTTCTTTTGTCTCTTATGTGCTCCAGATCACGTCAACAGCATCGGACCCGGACATTGGACTCACTCTCACCTCATGCTTCATCTCCCCCCAGTCCAGCCCCACAGTGTCCTCTGACTACAAGCTTATTGAGACAGTCTGTGCTGAGGATGACTCACTTAAATGGATCCAGAACCCTCAGAAGCACTTGTTTTTTTATGGAAAGATGGGGGAATCTTTTAGCTTCACCTTCAACTCCAAAAAACTGAACACAGCAGTTATTTTTCTGCACTGTGAGGTGTCGCTGTGTTCAGAGGATTCTCAGAGGAACCAGGAACTACCACAGGTATGCATGAAATCCTCTTATGATCTTTGTTTCTGCTCATGTTTGATGAGTTGTTCTCTCTAGAGCCAGGCAGAATTAGCAGATAGTTTATTCATATTACCATTGACTATTTTACAATAAATCAATTCAACTGGAAACGTGTCAGGGATCAAAGAGCAAAACAACACAGGCAGTTTTTCTATCACTGATTTTAGAGATTCCAACTTCTTTTTTTAAAAACAAAGCGGAGGTTTGAAACCATCTAATAGCAGTTGGTGCAGCCAACATGTCTCTCCAGTTGGAAAGACTGGGGAGACATTATTCTGCCTTTCCATCACTACCAAAAGGCAACCCACATTTCCAAATCCAGAAGGACAAAAGCTACTTTGCTACAAATTGTTTGGCCTCCTTTGCTCTTTCACATCCTTAATGAACATAGCAAAATATACATTTCTTTTGTTAAATAGATTCTTATATCATTGTCCATCAACTTATTTCATCTTTAAAACTACTGTAATAATGAAAATGACAGGGGTGCACCAATAAATCAACCTGTATTTCCTTAATTTTGGGAAATCTTTGATTGGCCGATACCTACACGACAAACAAATGTTATCTACTAATCTTACCTATCGCTACTAAAGTACAAAATCAGCCACTGTACCCATGTTTTTCCAAAATTGTTATCAACAGGTCTATTTTGTTAAAGATCGGTGATTGGACAGGAAACTGCAATCGGCGCACCTCTAGAAAATAGATAGTAAATGAGTTCTGTCCTCAAAGTAGCAAATTCCAGATTGAAAAAAAATATTGTTTGTGCGACTTGGCAGCAGTTTCATATAGTACTCATTCTGGGTTGGGAAACAGTGGTTAAGATAATACTTTTTCTTGCAAGCACTGTCTTCTACTTATTTTATTTATATATTTTTCTAAGGTCAAGAATCCATATGTGTTGTAAATTTAGCTTTCTCAAATATCTTTTATTTTCTCATTTTGTCTGTACAGTGCCTGGACCCCAGAAACAACTGTACTTCTCTGACTGGGGAGACAATCTTTGCATTGATGAGCAACAAAAGGTTTTTGATGAAGCCGATGGCTGTGGTTGATAACAGTGAGTCTCAAGGTTAGTGTGATGAAGACACAATTACCAAAGGTGTTACAAGAAAAAACATCTAGATATCCATTCTAATGGTGCCATATAAAGTTTAGATCAATCCACATTGCACTACACATCTGGTAATCATTAACTCCGAGGCGTGTGTATGTGTGGCTTACATGTAACCCTGTATGCACACGTGACGGTTGTGCACGTGCCTCAGGTTACGCTAATGGCTGTACGCAAGCGCGTGCTTTTGGCAGTGAATGCATCCTACCACAGAGTTGACTTCAGCAAAGAGGAGTGAGCTCCGGTTCTGGCCTCCTGGATCAGACCAAGAAGAGGAAAATGTGGAAAAACAGGAGTCATGCAGCACTGAGCACCAGTTGTTTTCACTTTGGCCCTTCTCTGTGGCCTCCCTTTTCCATCAGAATGGGGGGAGAATAGGGGCTGGTGGTCTTCTCGTTGATGTTGGGAAGCCAGCCAAAGACTGAAGGCCCCTCGGTCATGGCCTGCGCATTCGCTCGTCCATCCACTTGCAGCGCCTTTCGAGTCGTGGCCTAGCAAGGCAGGCGCTCGCAGGAGGTGGGTTCATGACTTAACTCTAATTAGATTGTTGCATTTATGACCTAAGCTCAGATGGGTTGATGTCATGAGGCGTTCTCCGGTGCATTGTTGGGGATTTCTAAATCAGCGTCCCTTCTTCGATTACATGAGAACTGCAGTGAGAATGAGTCATCATCGTTCACTCATGATATGAAATCGCTTGCATCATTTCCATTAGGCAGAACTGTATGTCATCTTGGCAGATATTAGCAAATTTAGAGCTGTTGTGGATAAAGTCAGATTATTGTTTCTGTGAGCTCGGCAGCACAGCGATACCCTGATCCCTAAGGGGTGGTCAACTGGGTGGGATTTTCTCACTGTGTTAACATCCATTAAAAAAAGAGAAATTGGCTGTAAAATATCAAAGCTTTACACATTGTTGCATGTTCCTGATGAACTATGTTGGTGTTTCTGGAACTCTAAAACAATAATGTAATGGATCTCAACTTTAAAAAAAATCTAGAGTCAGAGTTGTTTGGGATAATGCAGCACAGAAATGGTTCTCATTATACTTTGGATCTTAGAACTAGGCAAACGTGTAATCAGTTTGAAGTCTCAGTGATCTTTGACTTCATCTTTTTAGTTTGCGCTGCTCACTAACATGGAGAGGGCTCAGTTTTCATAGGAATACGGTCAGCAAACAAACACGGCAAATGGATTCTGTTTCAAATCCATGTTTCCTAATGCAAACAGATCCTCTGTACTGTTATGGCAAACCAAACATTTTCTTGGGTTTACTAAGGAAAGAAAGGAGAAGAAGAAAATGACCTCAAATCCCTCGATTGAAAGTTATATTTACTGCTTTACAGTGGTAATTTGCTTTCAGTAAATTATCAGTGTGTGGTAAATTTATGTAAATGTAGCCCCAGGGAACAAACATATGACATACAATATTGTGACTTTATGTAAAAGAAAAAACAGCTAAGCTGAAATAAAGAGACACTGTGTGGAAAAAATGAAGAACTAACTTAAATAAATCATAGTTTGTATCATATTATGTGTCTTTGTGAGGAGTTTTGACCCCCTCCTCTCTGTAGCATTATTATTGCTCATTGAGGTTTTACCCACCACAACTCTTCAGTCACTCAAGTTTTTATTTATAACAAACCTGTTGCAACTGTTCAATAAAATCCTTTGCAGCCATTTGTTTATTGATTTGCTGCCATTTTTGGAATATATCAACTGCATGTATTTTTTCTATGATGTTCCATATAAATTTACTAAAAAATTAAAACTTGCAGATGGCCATTTGTAAAAATTATATCCTTTCTCACATAAAACTGAAGAACTGAGATATGTTCTGCTCTTTGTTATTGTGATTTATCTCTGTAAGTGACAGATTTCTCATAGAAATATGAGCAACAACCATATGACTACCTTATTGACAGAATTACCATAAAATAATAAGAAACAAATGTTAAGACTTCATCTGCATTTCAGTGCTTAAATCCAATATTATTACACAAAATATTAACAGCTGGATCAGGAAGAAGATAACAGATAATGTGAAGTTCTGTTACATGGTAATGTTCTTTGTAGTGCTGCAGCTTTATGGAGCAGGTTTGTTCTGTAGTGACTTGTGAAATTCAGCTGCGTCTGATCTGGAACCGTCTGTATCAGGGAGTCTTGACGGTGTGACCTTTGTGGTCGTGTCTTCAGAGGTTGAGGAAAGTTCAGGGCTGAACCAAAGTAAGTCGTTATGCGGGAAGTCGCTCACTCCGGAGCGAGCGCTCTAACATAAACAAATGACGTTTGCTGAGATACCAGTACTGTTCCAAAGCTGACCACACTCTCATATCTGATCATATCTGATACTGTTAAAGCAGCAAACACGGCTGGCCGGGAAGACATCCAGCATGGTTATCCACAACATGCATCAGGACACTGTGTGAGAAGGCTCAGTGGGTTCTCAGCTTCATAACAGTGCTCTGCAGAAGTATTCATGATGCCTCAACAGTTTCACATGTTGTCATTGTGCATGTTAAAATTTAAAGGATAATATTTTAAAGCATTTTGGTAGGTAAAGTTTGGAAAGTGTGCTGTGCTTTCATGTTCAGGCCTTCTGAGTCAGTACTTTTTAAGTTTGTTAGTTTTTAGTTTAAAACTTTTTAATTGGTGCAATTGCGCCTGCAGGGTCGACTCAAAAAATTAAAACTAATGTTTTCTTAAAAAGTTTGATGCTACAAATTTAAATAAAAAAATATTTAGTGAATTGGAAACCTGTGAAATTTCTAAAATATACTTAATAAATTGAATGACTGCAACTAATAAAATGTTGTAGTATGAATAGTGACTTAGCTAGTTCATTAACAAACAAAATTAAGTAAATATAACTGAAACTATAAGTTAGACAAGTAAGTCATTCTAATGCCTCTTAAGCTCTGGCTGTATTTGTTGGGTTGTTGTCCTGCTGGAAGGTGAACCTCCACTGCAGGATCAATTCATTTGCAATCTGACCTGAAATTAACTCCATCTGCCTTCCCCCCAAAAAACCCTGTTTTATTCTTTTGTCCTTGCTAAAGAAATGCATACCGAGAGAAGGGCCTATTAGGCCTGTCATGATAAATTTTGATGGGCAATAAATTGGCTCAGAAATTATAGAAATAAATGTTCAAAATGGAGGCCATTCATGCGCCCCCACCCCAGTCCCCCGTTGGACCACAATTCAAGGATAAGCTAAATAAATTAGGACTTATAAATGTAATCTTCAGGCAAAAATGTTAGATGCAACACAAATTGATAATCTTTTCCAGTGCAGAGACAAACTTGAAGTTTAAGACAGCCTCTTCCTGTTATGTCATCCTCAGTTCGCTGCAAGTGTTAGGGGCCTTCCTGAGCATTCTTAGCATAGCAAGTCGCCTGGGTCAGATAACGTGGATTGGTGGGGGAAAGGGATGAGGTGGTGGGCCGTCATCTCCTCTGTTATTAAACTCTTCTCAGATGACCTGTCACCATCCATTATGTGAGCCGAGCGCTCCTTCCAGGAATAGCAGCCATTGTGAAGGAGAGCTGGCCACCTACCAGCTCTGCCTCTCTGCAACACACAAGCGCCTTTGTTTTCTTAGTTAAGACATCATTACAGCTAATTTCACTTTTGAAAGGCTTCCAGATGGGTTTGCACCAAATGGCTAAGCAGAACCCAGTGGAGTCAATAGGTCCATCTGTGAGGGGACACTCTCACCTCATATATAGATGTGCTCTCGAGAGTTTTCCTGCTTCAGGTTTCTGCATCGCATTCTTCATTGGATTGCTTATCAGCACAAGAGAGTATCTGTAATCTGCTGTTTCTGTGGCATGCGGCTGACAAAGTTGGCATGTTTCCATTGTAAGCGAACACGGAACAGTTGTTATTCTGCTAATGTTAAAAAAGAAACAATGTCACAATTGTACCTTTTCCATTAAAAAAGAAACATAATTAAACACAATTAAAATCATGCATGAATAAGTTTGTTCATGCAATGAGTCATTAAAAAACATGCAGCACCATCATCCTTGTATTACTTCCTGTCGTCTTTTCTTCATGACTTGTGCCAGTGGCAACATCCGATTGTTGGCCATGTGACTGATGTGATGTAAAAAAAGTGTTTTCTTTGCAGATTTGCGAAAAAAGACTATTTTCGATACAACAAAAATCCACCTCATCTCTGATATTTTGTCTGGTAAAACTATTCATAAATAGCATGCTAAGATCATTCCCAGTTTTTACTATTTTTTAAAATCTGAATTCCAATTACACTCCAAATATTTTGAAACCTGTATGAAGTGTTAATGGAATTGGCCACTAATGTATGTTAATCTTAATCTTAAATACTATATACCCCCTCTATAGATTTACAGTGTTGTGAATTGCCATACTTGTTTGTAGTTGTTTTGATAAAGTTTTACTTAAAAACACCTCATCCCAGTGTCAAAACTTTTTAATACAAAACAAGTTATTTTCAAAATCGCTGTGATTCCTTTCAGCAAATTTATTTTTGCAATCTCAAATTTTACAACTATATGATGAATAGAAACAGACCTACTGACTCATATTATATTTGATCTCTTCATATTTTTAGCTTGATACTGTGCTGTTGTATCAGTGTGGGGAAGCATGTTTTTAAGTTTTCATTGTTGATGTATTCTGTTGCAGATTACTCTTCAAATACATCAGAACCTGAAGAAGGTAAAAGAAGCAAACTTTTTTCTCTGTTGTTGTTTTCTTCCTTGTGTTTTCCATTATTTTTGTGTTAACTAAATACATTGTTTCATGTTCCAGATGAGATGTTTCTCTTGGACACCACCACGGTGGTATTGATCGCCTTCGCTGCCTTTGTTATTGGGGCTCTGCTGACTGGGGCCCTGTGGTTTATCTACACACACACAGGTAGGTCCCTCACCTATTGCCCTGCCACTTCTACCCCACCCGACCTGACCCAGTCCCACCCACCTTGAAGCTTTAATGAAAATAGATAAGAAGCAGAGGAATGTCCCAGCGTGCCACTGTGATGACCAAACATCCTGTAGCTGATAGAGGGTGCCTCATAATAACATATTGACTCCTTCACTGTAAATATGTCCTGTTGGTCAGCAACGAGAGGTCCCCTCTTTCCTCCTTTTGAATGTTTTCGGGGGGGGGGGGGGGGGGGGGGGGGGGTACCGCAGGCGGTCAGCAAATGTTCACAGCACAATAGCTGGAGACAAGCTGGAAATCCCCCTCGCTGGGTTTAGTGGGCGCTCACAGGAAGAGACACACAATCTGTCTATTAGATGCCAAGACTTTCCCCGTCGTCCCCAGCCCGCTGACCCTGGTCGACCCCTTAGAGGAAGCCCACAGAGTTCAGCGCCGCATAGAGCTCAGCATCTCAGTGCTGATCCACTGGGCCACAGACCTGCAGGAATGTGGTGGTTCTTCAGTAGAACTGTTTGGAAGTTTGCATGTGCGTTCTGGAAAGAGCTCACTTAGTGTAAAATCACTGCATTTGTTGGCCAGATCCAAACCGCTATCAGAAGGATTACAGTTAAAGAACTCGCAGTTGTCATACTCCCATTGCACTTCTGAGGAGGATTTATTGTAGTAACCACCCCCTGTAACAAACTGAGCCCCCTTATTGTTCTCCAAATAGTTCCCTTGGCTTTTCTATAGGAACACTCTTATTTTCTGCTTTATGTATTTACAAGTAAGTGACCAACAAAAGAACACAACAGGTCTGCTTTTCCAGAGATAGTATATTCTGGATAAAAAATCAACACACACACACCCACACGCACACGCATGCACACGCACGCGCACACACACACACACACACACACACACACACACACAACCCCACACACCCACCCGCACGCACACACACACACACACGCACACACACAGCAGGTTTAAAGATAGATGATATGAAAGATTCAGGGTTAAAGGCATTTTTCTGTTGATCTTATAAAAATAGACCACTTTTGGATGGGTGTGTTAACTGTGTCAGATACAGATGACCTTATATGGCAGTGTTTGCAGTTAACCCCAAGAACATAGATCCCCTAAACAACAACCAAAAATATCACGTTCTGAGTGTATTTTCAACCAGCTTTCAGAGTGATGAGGCATGAAAACACTTTGGATTTGTTTCAGCAGCATTCAGAGATCTCTTTAAAAGTAATTTTCCCCTCTTTTATTTACTGATGGTTATGATGGTCATGTCATTTATGAAAACGTGACCATTACTGAACAGTCTCTGTTCAGCAAAATAGAAGCAGAACTCCTTTAAAGAGAAGCCACATAGCATCACAATATCTGGAATTTTGTTCATTATGTCGACACGTGTAGTTTACAGTGAGCCAGGACTAAACTTTCTTCTTCTGTGTAAAATGAAATCCTGTAAAAATGAAATCCTCCTCTGTTTAGTTGGTCTAAAAACAGGACAGCTAAAAACCTTCAATAGTTTCACTGTTTTGAGAGAAATTCATCTCATCAAAATCTTCTCTATCATATGATACAGAGAAGATTTACACATCATAATAAAGCTCAGGGCTGTCAAAATGCTAAAACTGAAGAAAAATGCTTAATACAATTGTCAGTATTTTGTACTGAAAATACATTGCGAAACAATGTGATCCAAGCAACAGATAAACAGAAAAGATATCAAACAAAAAACTTCCTAAAGTCACAGTAAGATTTAAAAATCAACACATCACATTTTTTAAGTTGTTTTTTTTTTTTGCTGCAGCCTTTTCAGCTGACTATCTAATCCAGTGTGACGAATAGATAGTGGAGTTATAGTTGACACCAGAAGTTTACATGCATCGAATAAAGAGACATGTATGTTTTTTCTCGCTGAATGATGTTAAAGTAAACCAAACTTCTCCTGTTCTGTCAGCTAGAATTGCTAATTTTCTGTTTGCGAAATACCATAATAATGAGAGAATATGTCAGAGATGTATTTATTATTGTCTTCCGAATCAGATTAATCTCTTCAAGCATTGAGGAAAAGCTCAAATGATGATGTTACAGCTTTGGAGACTTCCAATTGGTTGGTCTGAGTCATCTGATTTCATTAATTTTAGGCACAAATTTGGATGTATTCTAAGGCCTAATCTAATTTCTAGTTTGACACAATTAGAAGTTCAAAAGAACTCAAACAGTAAGAACAACATAAGGCGATTGCCTTCTCCTGGCTCTGATTGGTTGTTTCTGACAGGGAGTGGCACACTTCTGCAGATGACAGTAGGACCACAGGTAGAAGAGCTTCATTTATTCCCCTCATATTATACAATAGTGACAGTTTTAACAAATACTAAAAAAAAAAAAAAAAAAAAACTCATATTTATAAAAGTTACATACTGCAGGTATAGGCTTCTTTCCTTCTTGGGTTTATCCTGCACAGGAACTGGAGGCTTTCTCATCCTTATAGAAATAATTTCTACACCTAAAGAGTAAAGGCCAAATGTCCCTGAGCAGACATAGGGATTTTTATGAAGGCACAAAGTGTTTTCGTAACAAAAAGAATGTGCCTTTATCTCTCCCATCTACAGAGATAATATCAGACTTGGGAATTCTAGTTTCCTCCAACAGCTGAGGTGAATCCCTTTGTTTTTGTGGGGCTCTGGTCGGTCCTGTGAGTGAAGGTCTGCTGGCAGTCAGCCCTCTCCTGCTAATCATTAGCAGAGATGTGGGGCCTGACAACGGGAGAGGGCTGCCATATCATCCATAGGTACATAGAGCTATCATACACGAAGGCACACACTCCCACAAGTGTGCATGCCATTACAAATGTGCGCAAATCTTTCTTGCTATTCTGCTGATGTCGGAAAAAAAAAAAAAAAAAACTATTTCACAATTGTAGAATTGTTTCTGTTAAATAAGAAATTAAATTAATTTCACAAATGTGGTCATGCGATTTGTCGTTGAAAATTATGTAGGCAACATATAGAAGAAGTTACATGACATACATTCACAATTTAGCCATGGTGTTGGTAGCACTCATCATCTATCAGCCAATCAGAGGAGACATAGGCGTTTTATTCAGGCGGAGAAGCAACAAGCCCGCCTGCTTTAAAAAAAAAAGTTTTGTTGAAATTGTAGTCTCTTTTACAGAAGAGCTATGGACTGAACACGTTCTAATGACACACAGCTTTTTTGAACTGTGACGCTGTGAGAGCTCTGGTGGAGCCAGCTGCACAATGTCTGAAAAAAACAAACTGTCTTCCTCCCACTGCTTCCTGTCGTCGTCTTCATCGTTTTCGCCAGTAGTAACATCCAGCTGTTGATCACGTGGCTCATATGATGTGAAAATAATTTTGCGATAAGGCCGAAAAACCATTTTATCCCACTGCAAAAAATATTTAGCAAAAAAATTTGTTTGAAATTGCTATGTTTTTCCATTAAGTAAATTTGCTTTTGTAATTTCAGTTTGCACAATTTTACAGTTAATGGAAACGCAGCTACAAAACTTGTTCAGCTAACGTTTTTGAACAATGCAGAAACCAGGCGTGCTCCTCCCTTATGCCTTTTGGGACTCTGCAGAGTACACTGCAGTCATATTTTGGTGCAGAACTCAAATTAAATGCAGACAAGGTTTTATTTCAAAATCTCCTCAATGTCCGATGGAGATGTCTTTTGTAAACAGACAAAATAAGTAACTTAAGCTTTGGAGTGAGTTAGTTTGTGATAGGAAATGTTTTTTTAGACTAAGAACAATAACCCAGATGCTTAGAAGACAGTAACCAGGTCCTGTGCTGTTTCTCCTGCTTTGTACTGAAAAAGGCTAATTAGATCCAGATAACTGAAAGCACAAAGTCATGTGAAGAGCAAAACATTTCTTTCAAAATCTGTTCATAAAGGATGTGACCATTTGGCTCTGGACCTTTCAGGGGACATCTTTGGGGACATTGTGCTTCTCATCCTGCTGGCCAGGGTTCAGTTTCGATTTCTTTTCACATTTTATGCTTTGTTCTCTATATGTTTTCCTTTGCCTGTGAAAGAATTAATGGATCTCAAAGGACAATAAAAAAAAAACTGAAACTGTGGGAAAATAAGCCAGATATCTTGACCAATTTGTATTTTCAGCCAGATCAGTTCGTCATGCTTTTGTCTGATTTTAAAATCAGTTCCATTTTCTCTTGTCTTATGTCCCCTGCCCCTTCTCCCCATCCCCCATCCCACCCCTGTCCTGCCCCGCATCCAGGTGGGACCGCCAGAGCGCAGCCCGTTCAGAAACCGCAGCCCGTCTCGGAGAACAGCAGCGCGGCCCACAGCATAGGTAGCACCCAGAGCACACCGTGCTCCAGCAGCAGCACGGCGTAACTCGGGACGCCGCGCCGACTACAGTACCTTCACGCTAACCGGTTTGTTGGTCTTCTAAAGCGTGAGACAGATGACAAACAGAAAAACCACCGACAAATGTGCTGTCATGATTCTGAGATGCATCTCAGCACAAAAAAGAAAAAAAGTTCTGTTTAGATTTTTTTTTTTAATTCTTTCAAATCCAAATGCTGCTCTTCTGGTCACAGTTAAGCCTTTTTTTGTTTTGTCCTTAAATGGTTTGAATTCAGTCGCTTTGCTCCATCGGTGATTGAACACAGCAAGATTTGCAGAGGTTAGATAGTGATATGTTGATGGCTGGACCGTAAACACATTACTTTAACACACGCAACCTAGAAAGTAGCACAGGAGCAACACAACCACTATTAGAAAGAGGACAAAAGTGCAGTATGAACTTGTCTGTCATTATCCTGATGAAGAGAGACAATGGATGTGTTGAATGTATGAGAGAAGAACAAGCACCAGCAAATGTGAAAGAATAATGTGAAAGATCTGCAGGTAGACCTCCATATTTAAGAAAAAAGAAGACATTTCTTTATTTTAGATTAAAGTGCAAACAGTAGATAACAATACATTAGAGCGGCTCAATAGATGCAAGTTTAAAACGGCCACGTTTTCAGAGTTGAAGCATACTAATTTGCTGAAGTTAAAGGAAAAGACTGATACTTGTTTTGTGTCTGAGTGTGACTAGCCTGGCTTCATCAAATCAGCTCGAATCAATCAGTCAATTTTATTTAGCTGGAAACGGTTGGTGTAGGTTGGAAGAAATCATCAGAATCTGACCTGAGGTTTTAATTCAGTTCAGGTTATTCACAATACATGTAGTCTTGCAAGACAATTTATTAAAAAATAACAAGCAATTTATATAGAGAAATAAGTGGCGCCCCCAAGGGGAGGGCTACTTGAAAGAGAATTGTGTTCAGGCTGGTGTACATGGTAAATGGAATATAGCGATTTATCACATCATTTACATGGTCATCTTCTTCAATCACAACATATATGGATAAAAAATAAATGCATATATACAGCTCTGGAAAAAATTAAGAGACCACTGCACTGAATGACATTGAAAACTTCCTGGTTATTCCACTAGATATTGATTTCTGAACTATTCCTGAGTTAAAACATTAGTATTGTTGATTCTAAATAGTTATAAACTTGATGTTTTTTTTTTTTTTTTGCATTATTTCAGGTCTAAAATCACAGCATCTTTCTTCCATTATTTTGACCATTTCTCATTTTCATCCAGCAAATACTAAGTATTTGCTTGGAATTTCAGAGACGTGTTGTCAGTAGTTCATAGAATAAAAGAACAATGTTCATTGTACTTTTTACTCAAACATATAAACAGTAAAATCAGAGAAACTGATCATTGTTTATTGGTCTCTTAATTTTTATATATAAAAAATTAAGAGATAAATAAACAGGTCATTCACATACATTACATTCCAATAGGTATCTTAAGTTATCATCTGCAGTTTAAATTCCTTTGAAAATGTTTTAAACTCAGTATTTCACATTACATCTTCCACTGAGTCCAGCCATTACAAGACATTCTCTTGTTTGCATTACTATCCTTCAGACACAAGAGAGGTCTCAGTCTTCTTCTCAGCTGTCTTTTTTTTTTTATATCTCCTGAAGTGTTGGTGTACGGTTCTGGTCAGAAGTTTTTATACACTTATTAAAATGAATTTTCTTATAATTTGGGGATTTAAATTATGTATTTCAACTATATTTTTTGATGACTGTTAAAATCTTAAACGACCTCAACTGTGAACAACACAACAGTCTCAAATATACATCGCCACAAATCCTTGGAGAAGTGTTTGCTAGCTGGGAGGATTCTGGCTGCATATTTGAGCATGTAATGTTTTATAAAAAAACAAAACAAAAACTGTCTATTATTTTTAGATTGTCATATCCAAATTAAGTCAGCATTCGTGCTTATGGTGAGCGTATGCAAACTTCTGTCCAAACTGTCGATTTGTATTTTTATGTGAATAATTGTAAATAGGCAAATGTGTTTCGAGGGAAGCACATGTGCAAACTTCTCTTTTCTGCTTTATCTGTGCCAGTCCCTTCTTTTATAACCTGAGGAATCTCATCTACCGTGTTGACTGATTGACTGACAGCATTAACGACGGCCATATTTAAAGAACAACCCAGCGATCACAGTTAGCCTTCGTTTGCTAAGGTCTTGCTGTCTGTCCTTTCAGCAGGCAGCATATTGTCACAGGAGTAGAAAGGCATCAGAGGATAAAACGGAGTAGCGCTCCCTGTTTGTAATCTTTATCAGACAAAACATGAGGCATTTTTCCATGGTTTGCAGACACCAGACGGTTAGTGTTTGGAGTTCCTTATCCCACTTGGTTTTGTGTAAATCTTGGCACTCAGTGTGTTGTATAAGCTGTAGCCAAAGTTCTTTGTTTCACATATATTTTCCTCAACATCGTAAGCTCCCCACCGCTTTATAAGTATATGAATGTTTTCTGTGTGTGTGTGGGTGTGTGTGTGTGTGTGTGTGTGTGTGTGTGTGTGTGTGTGTGTGTGTGTGTGTGTGTGGGAGTGGATGGGGACAGCAGGGAAGAGAGCCAGCAAAGGGACATAATGCTTTTTATCTGTTTGTTTTTTCTTCTCCTTTCTCAATGTAAACTTATGTACAGCTTTCTACAGATGCTATAAATAAATATATTTGTGTATAAGATTATATTTTGGAATGTATTTACGACAGAATTTTATTGTGATGTGTGTGTGGAAGTACTGTGAATTGTGGATTTGCTCATATAACATATGGTTTGGGAAATTCTTGTAAAGCATACATAAAAGTGTTGCACGCTGTCGAATAAGATGCAATTTACTAAATAATTATACTATAAAGTTGTTGCTAGGAGCCGCTTTTCTTAACAAATTTCTAGACGTATTTCATGCTTGTTGTTCTGTGTGAAACTTTAATAATCTGTGCAGGCATTGCTGATGTTCTACACTCCATCCAGCTGTTTAAAAGTAAGAACGGGACTCAACTCCAAATGTATTTAAGCTATGCTTCTCAGACACACCGTTCATTTTAAAGAATATAAGCTGAAGCTTTTCGACGCTTTATAGCATCCCATCTCCAAAGTAGCACATAGTAAAACATGAAACCAGCTCTGGTTGGTCACCTTTGGGTCATGCACAGTTTGTTCAAAATGATTCTGCATCTTATTAAGCCACAGCCTCCCATCATCAATAATAGCACTTGGTAAAGATGAGCAAAAAAGCCTTAAATTGATGTTTTATTTCAGTAGCATAACTTTGTTGCAGTTTTTTTATATATATATGTTGTCTATAGTCCACCATTTGTAAGCTTAACCTAGAAACTATTTTATTGATGGTCTTCACACAGTACCAAATCAGCATGTTGGTCTGTCTTTCAATTCATTTCCAAGACAATGTGTCTATCCTTAAGGGAACGTTGAAGTTGTCTGTTTTTCATTCAAGTATCTTCAGAGTGTTATTCCTGCTGTTTTTCAGTGAGAATCTGCAGTAGCAGTCTTTCAATCTATAGATGCCTCTGACTGAAGACGGTTGCTGTATGACAGTCTCATGACCGTCATGACATGCAAACTGCTCAAACTGTTACAGAGGACATTAGTCCTCTGTATGAGGACTAATGTGGTTCTACTTAACCACCTCCTTTGCTTTTGCCGATCTGTCTGGCAGAGATTTGTTGAAGTTTCTCATTTTTTCTCAGCACTTTAAATAATAAAGTTGAAAAAAGAATTTAAAAAGTAAAGCACAAATGATCAAAACGCTTAACACTTTGTTTAATATTTAATATGTCAATGAATGTGTCCAAACTGATCCAATTCAAAAACAATTTCCTCAATGTGGGATTTTTATATCAAATCTAATATTGGATCATTTTCTTAAAGAAATATTACCATGTCAAATTATCCTGCAATAAAAGCTGTGTTCAGTTTAATGCTTTTTACTCATCTTTGCCAACATGTAAGGAGGATATGATAATTAGAGCACAAATCCATGGAACTATTGATTGTATTTTTTTATGTGATCTGACTACCTCATATGTTTTTTGAAGGTTGAGCTTGTATGCCTGTATGTATGAAAGTGCTGGAGGCGAAGCAACCGTTTAAGATTTAAAGCTCGATCATGACATTTTTTTTCAAATCACACTTTGTCATTTTAAATGAATCTGACAGAAAACATTAATGTTATGATAACCCTTTTCTTTTTGTGAGCCTTTGTACGTTTAAATTGATCGTTTGACTTTCTTTGTGTTCATAAAACCTTTTATACACTGTAAATATGCATGACCCCTGTACGCTCATTATGACCAATAAATATTTTACAATAATTACAGTGAGACTCCTGTCTGTTTGATGGTTTCCTGTGTTGATCATGGACACACACTCCTCTACTGTATATGGAGTTAGTTTAGAACTCTGCTCAGCGGTGATGAAGTGTTCGGTTCGGCTCTGTGGCCGTGAAGTCATGACTCGTCTCTGCTGAGCTCATAACATGATACAGAGCATGAGGATTGGAGGGTTGGAGGGTGTAGATGTAAGGATTAGATGTAACTAAGGGATTCCACATTGAGAGAAATTTCACACACACACACTCATGCAGACTCGCATTTTTCTCTATGATTACCTTTCCTCTGGGACAGTGTAAGCAGCGTGCCTTGGCGTGAAGCGGCCCTGGGCGAATGTCCCGCCGCCTCTGGACACATCCCCAGCGATTGTGATATCACACATGCCCCTTTCGTCTGTTTTTCATAAGGAGCTCGTCCAACTTATGAGTAATATTTAGATTTTTTTTTTTTTCAACGAATGATCACATCATTCCCTTAAATGTGATGTCATTTTCATTTCCAGCTTCTCCCTCCTCTGCCTCCCTTGGCTACTTTTGCCAGAAATTAGTTGTTCTACTAATTCATTGAGCCACTGATCGTATGCAGCCTAGACGATAGTGATAGACACAGGATCAAATTTAAAAGGCCATGTAGATTTCCAACACTGACATTGAGAATGGCACCAGGTTTAAGTTTGCCCTTGAGTCATAAACCTGATTACATGAATAAAGTAAAGTGAGATACTTTTTTGCGAGTTGTGCTACAGTAGAGAGAGATGAGCATGGATGAGCTTCCTGATCAGACCTTTATACCTGTAATGCAGCTAAAGTCCAGCAGCAGCTCTTCTCCTATCGTCGTGTTGGAATCTATTGCAGATGTTTATTTCAAGGTTTTCAGGGTTTTACAGAAAGGGAATTTCTTCTTGAAACAGTGTTTCGCAAAAGTACACTCACCTTGTCACATTACAACTTGAAACCTTAGTCCATTTTATTCTCTTTTTTTTAAACATGTATTTCTTTAACATCTTTTTAAAGTCTTGTTTGATTCAGAATGGGCTTTAGGCCTGGATTTGTGTGGGCCATTCCTCAATGACCCAATACCCTACATGTTTTATTTCACTCCCTTGTTCATCAGACCTGAATTAAATGATGGCTCATCACCTGGCATACTGAGTTGGATCATTTGAATCAGACAATAACAAAAACTGGCAGGACTTTGGTGCTTCAGGACTGTTTCACTGATGTTCAGACCAGACTTGGATTGCTGGCCAAAGATTTCAGAATTGGTTTTATCTGAGTCTTTTAATTGTAGGAAAACTGCAATGTGAGCTTACAATTTTTTTGACACTCTTGGTCAAGGTGGATAACTAATACTTGCTAACAGAATGGCAGCTACGTCACAAACTTATGATTTCCTTGCCCAGTCTGTCAGATTAGGTTGATGTGACAGAGTCCACCTAATTTATTTACTACATGTTTCTGATTTATTTCGTTTTCAGTAGTTGGTCATAATGTTTTAGTTTAAAGACTGCAGTTGTAACTTTGCTTCTCTTACTATCCCGGGTTTGTTTGTGGTAGACATGCACATTCACATCCATGCACCTCTTTTTTTAAAAGGGACAGTATCACGTAAAATGAGCTGTACATCATGCTATCTATGCAGTATTCCTTCTATGTTGCCTTCCTTCAGTTATATATATTAGTCTCCATGGCAACCATTCAGCTGTGCATAACACCCGGGTGGACTTAGCCCCGCCTTCAAGGCACAGCTTGTCATCAGAGATGCAGGTATGAAGCAGGATGTACTGTCTTATATTTTCCTCAGTTCTGAGCTTTGGTGAGTGTAAACATCTGCTAGCTTTAGCGTTTCCTGTTTGGTTCTCATATTTCGACCATGGATCTGTGGGTGGGAAGAAAAATCCAAACTGAATGACTTAGTAGGGCTTTTAAGTTCTCAAGAACTAATGATGGTGGGCACTGAGTCAGATCTCAGTCGTAACTGGTTCATCATTGTGAGCAGCGTGTTACACAGTAGAACTGTTGCTAATGCAAAACACACTGATGATGCATTGACTTGGCTGAGTCTGGAAAATGACCTCAACATGGTCCCCCAAAGGTCCGGGGGGCCGTGGCTATGTCCAGTAAAGTGTCCACCCATAAGCCTGGTAGCATGACTCATTTGTATGTAATATAATAAAATGAAAGTCCTATTGCACATTTTGAAATATATATATATATATATATATATATATATATATATATATATATATATATATATATATATATATATAGTCCCTGTATATACTCAATATGCCAGATAATGAGCCATCATTTTGAAATATATATATAATGCTGTCAATTCTGGGTAATTGACAGAGTTACCTGTTAAATACTTGTTACTGTTAATGACTGTTAATGTTACCTGCAATTGATTTTTAAGAGATTAGGAGTTAAAAGGATAAAATCTTTTTTTTTTTTTTTTTTATTTTACAGAGCTCTGTTGAAGGGTGATGAGTAGTCAGTATCATACCAGCCATAGAAAACCCCTCAAGTTTCATCCCTTTGAAGCCAATTAGCTTTACAGTGCAGAGTCATGCTGTCATATGAGATTCAAAATGCTTCAGAAATTCCTGTCATCTCAATTTTGATAAATCTTAGCTCTGTATGTAAACAATGTCTTGAATTAGACATTGTTTTCATAAAAGTCTGTAGTTATTTTCAGAGAAATCTGTGTTTGTAACAGAGACCATATAAGACATGCTGCAAAAGTGTTTTGGAGTTATTTTTAAGATCGATATGAACTGCAGATCTGAGACAAATGTTGCAATGATTACTATATCACATACCTATAACAGCTTTAAACTCAAACCACGCAGTTTCTGAAGGTACGCCGATTACTACTGGCTGTCCTCTGTTTGACAAAAGCTTAGAGCAGATCCAAGGTTTCGTCATGTGGTCTGTCTTTTTTTCTAGTTCATTCAGGTAATTGTTTTTCACTTGTATATTATGTAAGGTAAGTTGGAGGTTAAGCATGGAGAGTAAGAATCAAACCCAGTCTATCAGGAGTGAAAACATACTGAGTCAGGCTTTTACATTGTGTAGAACCAGTGACAGATGGCGGCACGGCGCTGAGTCGGCTTTCATTCCTAAACTGGTTCATCATTGTGAGTGGCATGTTATCTAGTAGAACTGTTGCTAATTCACAA